GTAAATGTCCGTCTGCATGATATGCTGTGGTGAGTTTGAAAAGCATCAAATCAACATGAAGATAGAGTGTAATGCAGTCATCAGTAGATAACAGCATATATACGTGGTATTGCTCTTGCTTGTAAACGTTTCATCTTGTATGATACAACCATGGTTTGTAAAACTTCTACAAGCGATAATGTTTCTTTGGCTTCTAGACAGCGGTAGCATCAAAATCCTAGAGTTGCATTACAGTCATTCTGGGGTTGCATGGTGCACTCTGTCCAATTGTTGATGGGAAAACAGCGGAAACCAGGCAAAAAAAAAACACGTTTTAATAGTACAGCTTATTACCAACTCATCTACAGTCAAGCCGACGCAAAGTTTGATCGACCGAGTCGGTCGAAGGGCAATTAATGGATATCATCGATGTCTACACCCGAATTCAACCGTGTTCTCTCCGAACCGCATGACAGATGAGGAGCTTACCCTAGGCGAGCAATTGAAGCATTACACCAACTGGTTGCGCTTAAGGAAGCAGTATTTTGATGTGCTCTGCTACCAACAACTTGCTAGAGACACTCTAGTAGAGTGTAGGTGATGTCCTGGATTTTCATGTCTGTCCTCCTCTCTTTCGTTCGGAGACAAGTTCCGGTCTTCTCTACAGCTCATCATGAACATGAGCCTCCCGCATCAATTGGCTTTGAGTTTGGAGCGTGCGGTAAGCTCTGGGTTCTTTTCGACTGACGCTCGAGAACCGGATACATATCTTGCATGTGTGAAAACTTCAACTCTTGCTTGTACAATTTCAGGACATTGTCCACCCTGCGTCATCTTTGCATGTTCGTCAACAGTGGCCAAGATTCAGGATCCGCTACAAATATATTGCATTCATTCTGGTAGGGCAAGTCAACAAGGCAAACGATCCAATTCTGATTTATTCAAAGTTAGTCTCTATCATTAAAAAGTTTAATGCTAAAGTCTCCAACAATGCAGCATGACTGTATCGGAGGCGTCAGATATTGCATTTGCAGGTCTTTCACTGCGGTCTCAGCAGTGAATCTCCGCCATGCAAAACCAGGACAAACCGTTCTCGAGATTAGACTTGCTGGCGAAATGATGAGAGTTTTTCGGCTGTTTTTCAGTCAGTCCAGCCCTAAAGAGTCATGAGGTTTCGTTGAACGATTTGCTAATGTGTGTGTAATCTCGGAACACGCTTTGCAACAGGAGTTGCAGCCAGCAGTGCCGAGTGTCGCTCTTGCAACGACCCACACGGATACTCTTTGTGTAGCTCCGACTCCCGACGATTGAGAGCTTAGCCTTTTATTGTTGTGAAACCCACCAGAATAATGCAGGGTACAGTAAACACTTTTTGAGAATCCTTTCATCTGTCTCCGGGTGTCGCTATTTTACAACACAGCTACCCCGTCAACATGCATGAGCAGATGGATGCTGTACCTTGGACAGGGACAACGCCGGCACTTGACAGTCAAGTTGACTTGAGTTGACGACGCCAGGGTTGACTGTCATTTGTCGGCCTCTTTAACAACGTCGACCCGTTGTCGCAGAATGGAGTAAGCATCTGGGCTAATCGATCACGCGACTAATCACGATCGACGGCCGCAAATGACTACATGTACGTACACAGCTGTAGGATTGACAATTTTTCTTGAGTACTGGAGGTTTGACACTCGTAGTACAGTAGTATTTTCAAGTATCCATACCGCTTGCAGTTTTTTTTTTTTTGAACCTCACTTTCAATCTTGCTCTTTAAGCACAATATCATCAACTCCTTCAACATCAAGTTCAAAATGAAGACCTTCGCCGCTGCCGTTATCGCCGCTTGTGCACTCACTGCAACCAACGTCGCTGCCGCTGGAGAAGAAGGAGCCGCGTGGGGATACA